TGGGGGGGGGGAGAGAGAAAGTAACGAATAAGGGTGTTTGATACCATTCCAATGCTGTAAGAAAATAGTCAAGTAATTATAAAGTAGTCAAGTAATTAAAGTTAGAGAATCTAGATATGGTTATTTAATTGTAATAGTAGGTATTGCTGTTATTGTGGTAATAGGTACTGTGATTATAAGTACCTGATATCGGAACTGTGGTAATAGATCTGTAACGGAACACCCAAAACTGAATGGCACCGACCCATAAGGATACTTGTTTAGAGTTTTCAGTGAGATCAAGTTATTGTTTCAAATATTCAATCTATCCTGCTTCAAAATATTTTCCAATAAATGCGTGAAAGTATTCAGTGCTTTACTTGATGCTTATTATTTTCTTTTTAGAGAATACAATACGCACTAACTTATAAGAAAAGCCAGTGTATCATTTTTTACAAATCAAGTGGGAGAAAAACTGTTAGAACTGCAAAAATTTCAAACGCTTTGTGGTTTATGTTTGGAATCGTCGCTCCCATTTTGGAACACCTAATTAACTTCTCAAGTTTCATTAGGTAGCGCAGTAAAGAATTTTTTTTTCTCATCGAAATGAAACGGATTTTAAATTTTAAAGTTGAAACACAATGATTTCATATGAATCAAAATTAAATTATAAAGTTTCAAGTGAATTTTTTTCCTTCAAAATATCATTATGTTGGAATTATAGAAGACAGAAAGTTATTGTTTGTTTGCAATATGATAATTAGAAAATTAAAAGAACTTTCAAAATTTAAAATGTCATTTTTTTTTGTGGTTTAATTTAGCCTATTTTCATCTATTCATTAAAATTTTAAAATACTAATGCAGTTAAAAGAGAATTAGCCATGAATGGTTTGCCGTGCATGGGGTATAGCGTAAAAAACTTGTCTCGTTTGATTTAAATTGTCAGATAAAAACCTAGTTCGTTAGCTCGGCGGTATTCGAAATTGACGTATTCTCTCAAAAATAAATCAAATTTTATGAAAAAAGAATATAGTAGTATTTGCGTGAATTACTTATGAAAACTCCTTTCATTCATTATTACAAAAATCCTTTAATAATTGTTTTTAAGTACAATTATTTATTTATTTGTCATCAGATTTTGATAGAAATGAAGAATTTTTTTTTTCTTGTCAACATGTTATGAGTTATCGGAAGAAGGAAAAAAATCTAATCTAGTATTTACAATATATTGCAACAGAGTACATTCGTGCTAATTTAATACGAGGCATCGTGAATCATTGATGTTAATGGTTTTTGGTTTATACTCATGGAATTCTCGGCAATCATTACTGGAACAAACATTTTACCGCATAGAAAATACACTAAGTAGTGGATTGAATATGTTAGAGAAATATGCTGTAAGACTCGTTTTGTATTAACTTTCGATCGGATTTCCATACAAACTTAATGGTTCGAAGACTTTTATTAAGTTGTCCGATTTATTCAAAGCAATTATTTATGTTTTAAGATACAAAGCAGCCGTTGAAACAAAAAAAAAATACTATCTCTGAAAAAGCGTCCTTTTTTTTCGTCGCCTTCAGTTTCTTTAAACCTCAAACTACGGGGGTGAGGGGGTGATGGGTCAGGGGATAGAGCGTTCGCCTTCCAATGAGATGAACCGGGTTAATATACCAGCGATGGCTGGTCCGCATCCAGCTAGCACCGACCACAGTGCTGATGTAAAATATCCTCAGTGGTAGACGGGTTAGAGTGGTAGTCTGGCTAGTCGGGGGAGGTTCTCGTGGTCTTCTTCCCTATGTAACGCAAATGAGGGTTAGTTCCAGCAGGAAGTCCTCCACGAAGGCAAATTTCTCACACTACTTGATCTAGGAGTTCCTTTGTCTTCTGGATTGGGTTCAAAATGACAAGGTTACGGAGTTGAACACGATTGGTCGTAAATCCAAAATCTGCGTCGGCTGTTTAACGACTGTTATAAAACAAACTAAAATCTGAGAAACACGATTGTCATAATTTAGTCAGTTAAATCTTGAGTTTCTTAAAGTTAATTTTTGTGCACTTTGCTGTATTTCCAGAAAGGTATATATTTCTAGAAAGGTATATATTTCTAGAAAGGTATATATTTCTAGCAAGGTATATATTTCTAGAAGGAATGTATTTCCAGAAAGGTATATATTTCTAGAAAGGTATATATTTCTAGAAATGTATATATTTCTAGAAAGGTATATATTTCTAGAAGGAATGTATTTCTAGAAAGGTATATATTTCTAGCAAGGTATATATTTCTAGAAAGGTATATATTTCTAGAAAGGTATTTTGAGAATCGATGCTTAACAAATCTTTCCATCTATTCACAAAGTACTTTTTTAACACAATTTTTTTGTCAGTAGTATTTAATAATGATGCAATAAGTTGTGAATGATTCGGTATCTAAATGAACGTCATATAAAATGGCTAAAATTCCAAAATTTAAACAAATGGTTCTGAAGAAGCGAAAATTTAAAGATACGACTTTTCGAAGCTGTATTTCTCAAAGACTATTCGATTGATTGCTCTAAATTTTGAAATATTGTCATTTACGATTGGTTTAAGATTCTCATAATTCAAGAGAATGCAAAATGTTTAAAATAGTTTATGCATAGCAACTAGTAATAATTCTTCAAAATAATCATCTGGATTGGATTATCTCAATATAATTTCATTAAAAGCTAAACACTGTAAAAAAATCACCGTTTAAAAAGTTTTAGAAATGTGGTGATGTAGACAAAATAAAAAACTAAATTTGGAGATCCTTTGCTAACTAACGATTACGACCACACTTTACAAATTGTTATTTAACCACCCCCTCCTTTGAGGTTCTCCACAACTTTGAGTCAGGATTTTAAATCTGTTCAAGAAAAGAGATCGTGATTTGAACATTCGAAGTATTCCGACTCATTGGAATAGACAAAATAGTGAACGAAAATCTGATTATTGTAGCTATAATTATCTGCCTTATATAATGCGTGTTTTTTTCCTGTACTTTATGTTATGTGTGCATGAGTATTTGTAGAAATTATTTGTTCTTAGTAATGTTTATTTTGTTCATCGCATTAAAAATTCTCGTGTATTTTGTAGGGTCGAAAAAGAGAAACAAAAATTTCAAGCAGAAGTATATGATTTATTGGCACAAGTGGAGAACGCCCACAAAGACAAGGTATTTCTCAAGATGTATCAAATCAATAACACCCGTAAAATAGCTTTTTTTTAAACAAAAACCCGTCTCTCACTCATTTTCTTTGTAAATGACGGCAAGTGTGTAAAGATAAGGAAAAATATAGCATTAAATGCGCTAGCATAATTCGACTTTGTGAGCAAGTATGTGCAGATGGGAGGAAAATCTATTATCAAATGGGTTAGTACAATAAAACTATATGCACAGGCCGCAAAAAAAAAAAAACTAATCACCCTGAATAACTTTCGTTTTAATGATCGGATTTTGACGACCTAAATGCCAAGGGTTCTTGGGGGTGACCTCAAATATGCTAGTTAATTAATGCTAACTATTAAGTTACGAAATCAGACACAAAAATCTACTTTCTCTGAATAAACATATATTTTTTTTGCATACTTGGATTCTTCAAAATATAGGGGGTAGCCGCAATCTGGGAAATAGGGTCCCCATAGTTTGGTCAGGAGAGCGATTCAAAGTTCGTACCCCTTAATGTTAATTTCGCTTTTTGCGTTTTCAGTCATATTTTCAAAACTAATGAAGCAATTCAAAAAAAATTGCACCCACTCATAAAACTCATTTACCCAAAGATAATTTCATGCAAAAAATAATTTTTAATAATTATTTATTATTTTTTATTATTTAATTAAAGTGAGGATGAAAAAATATTGAATTATAAGGTATGAATTTTTTTATACCATATTAATCTACATATTTTTCAATTGAAAAATCTAAAGTTTCAACTGTTTTTATTTATTAGAAGCTGAGAAAAATTAAAATTAATTATTTTTAAAAAAATAATTTGGCGACAATAAAGAAATAACTAATTGGGGCGATTAATATTAAAATGTGATAAACTTGGGAGGAACTTGACTTCGCGCGCGTAGCGTAAAATTTCATTCATATTTTTTTCGCTAATAATCGTTTGCTAATCTTTTTATTTTTATTTCTTTCACACTATAAAATACGATGTTTCTTTTTTAGTCATTTAATAATTTATTTGCAATTTAGTAAAGAATTTTGAATAAAAAACACTTTATTCAACAAATGTCTAGTTTTAAAAAAGCGTGCTTCTGATAGAATACACCAGATTGTGCTTATTTAATGTGATTATTTTTTATTTTTTGATTTTGTTTTTCAATAACTGATACAATTTTAATAATATACATACGTATGCATAGATTTGGAATAATATATTTATCAATTTCTTGAATATATAATTTATAAATATTAATAAAAATACGTATTCAGCATTTTTAATGATCTTAAAACTTCTTTACGTCTTATATATCGCCTTAATCTTGAAATAAATTTGTAAATTATCTGTCTGCGCTTGCTTCGCAGAATTATTTACATAACTTTTTAATTAAAATTTTACGCAAAAACTTATTTTTTATTCTACCATATATATTATTTTCCAATAATATACTAATCAATCGTTTTAGTACTTTAATTTATGTTTTCCTTTAAAATAAAATTACTTTTTAAATTATTGCTAAGTTCTTATTGAAGGAAAACTTAGATTTATTGCCAGCTATCTGAGAATTATGTCTTGTTAAGAAATTAAAAATATTCTACTGATCACACACAATATCATTCGATGCAGAACAGATGACTATTTACTAAGAATACTATTGTTTACGAAAAATGAAGATAAATTATTACTTTTTTTTATTGTTTCTTATTTATTCGAGTAATGAAAAGTAAATGCGTATGTGTACACAGCAAAAAACTACAACTAATTGTTTTTTTTAAATGAACAAAAAACTATGGACATACAATTTTATTTCAACATTCAAAGTTATTCGTGTGCGCTAACTTAAAGAAAGTTACCCCTTTCTTTTAAAAAGTTGAAAATATCTGCTTGAAAAGTTGTTCATATTATTTCGCAACTTTTGCACAGTTCAGAAAAATATTACTATATCAGGAAAATGTTCGATATGCCTTGATTTGTTAAACAACTACTAAAATAAAAAATTGTAAAAAGATCCGAAAAACGTGCTATTTTTAGAATCCTCATTTCAAAAATTGTTCTTTTTCTAACATTAGGATGTACTTAAATAACCTGTAATAATAGTTTTAATACACGTTTTGAAGAAATAATGAATACAAATTTGAATATAATATTTCGTAATAAGGAAACAAGCATATTCATTGATAATTGTTTCATTGCACCGAAGTAGTTAATTCTTTTCGAAATAATCGGCCATGCAACTATTTAACTTTGACTCTTTGAACTAGGGGTCATTTCAGCATGTCATTCGACTTTAAAATTTCAAATATAAAATTCAAAAATTACAAGAATGCGTAAGCCGTCTTTAATTAATCATAAAAACGGACAAAATCGTCGCAAAAGAAGTTATCTCATAAAAAGAATGTCAGAGTTAAAAACTGTAACAAGTGCTACTCTTGTTTAATTTGGGGTATTATAAACCTAAATTTTCCTTTCTTTTACTTTTTTAAATTATTTTTTAAATAAACTAAAGAAATGAGTATGTAAATAATATCCATTCGTTTTACTAGAAACCATAGTTTACTTAGTATCATTCGCAAATCATATGAAGTGCAAATTCTTGAGCTCAGGTGTAGGGTAGGATATTTCATGCATGATCAGTAGCTTCAAGAGTGAACTCTTATATTAGAAGGCAGCTAACTTCTTTAAAAATTCTAATTCGGAAAAATACTTGTTATTTTACAAATGTTATAAGGCATGTGTATTTTTTGAATGGTTATTTATACAATTTTCACAAGTGTGAATGGCCATTAGTTTTCCCTTGATGAAGCAAAAACGAAGCCAAAAACTAAATCAGTATGAATTTTTATCTTTTAAATTTTTTTTTTTTTGAATTCTCTAACCTTGATATTTAAACTCTACGATCCGCTTTAATATGTTTTTGTTTGAGTCTAAATATTTGCATTTTTTATATTTTTTACGATTAACATACATCAACATAGTGCAAAAAATTAACATTTTTGAAAATTTGAATTCATTTTTTCAAAGAGCGAATCTCTAACAGTACTTCGGTGAATCATAAAAAAATAATTTAGCACAATTTCTGAATTAGTTTATCCTCTAAATACTCCCCCCCCTCAATTTAAAATTAGATGATAAAATTGATTAGTTTTTGTAAAAAGAGACTGTTACAAAGAAACAAAAATAAAGGAACTGACAGGAAAGAATACATAAAAGTTTGCTACACTACACTATATAAATTACTTATATTAAATAATCAAAATGTAAATTTACAAAATATTTATTTATTTTATATAATTTTTACATTTAAAAATAAGAAGTTTTTATGGTAATCAGCTAAGTTATGCTTTACAATATTTGCAATGTTCGAAATGCTTAAAAGATATCCACATAAATCCTATAGGAAGGAATTCAAACATTTTGATTCTACTTACAGTTTTCTATTAATTAAGTCACAGATTATTTAACCAGAAAATGTTACTGACTTATTCATCAAAAAGTTAAATTATTAATTTAACTCAGTAAAACTTAAAAGAGTAATCCACCACATATGCATTAAATTTCAGATAATTTCTTTTATTAATTATTTTTACCTTATATAAAGCGGTGGGTTGAATAGTTCCCACCAACAGCATTAATTTTTAAATACTGTTGCTGGGCTATTTTTTCATCTATAATTTCTGCGACCATCTTCTAATAATTTCAGAAAATAAAAAAATATCAATAAAAGGATATGTTTGCATAAATGCTGGAAATAGTTAATGGTAGAGGGGTCTTATTATTTTCTCTAATTCAACAATTAAAACTAGTAAAATTCTAATTAAAATTAGCAAATCTCTAAATAATCTACAACTGAAAAATACAACGATAAACTCTTAAGTAAAATTGATTCCAACTTATGACGAATTTCAATTTTTTCAAAGATTTTAAACTCTTTTTTTTTTATTTGACCTTTCATTTAAAAAGTCAAGAATTTAGTCCTTAATTATTTAGGAACACTGTGGTATCAGTATCGATAGTAATTATAAATTTATCAATAAATTTAAAATTAAATTTTGAAACCCAACATTTTGTGACCACAAATTTACGAGTTTTTGAAATTAAATATTGAATGAAATATTGAAATTAGAATGAAGTGACCTTTAACAATAAAATAAAAATACAAGTAAAATTTACTCTTATACTATTATATATATATCAATTTTATAGAAAAGAAATACCGTGAATTTTATGAAACCTTCTGATTGCGCAGTGCCCCAAATTTTTCGCAGTACCTCTTTTTTCTGTTCCTTACCTGAAAGACTTGAACTGAGTTGTAAAAGCAATTTGCCCTACAACTCTTCATAAATTTATAATAACTTAAGTAAATTTGGTTTTAGAACAGCATTTTCATACAAATAATATCTTTAAAAAAATAAAAAACGTCAGTTAAGAAGTTCAACGGTCAAATTTTGAAATATTGGAAAATCAAAAATAATTTCATTTTCATTTCTTCATTTAAAATTCACATTTTATTTTCAAAGTATTAAAACGAATACTATTTTCTATGCCCAGAAATCAAAACCAAAAATTATCTTCTTGGTTGCCTATAGCAACAGAGAGACACGATGTTATGACGTCTCGTCATTCATTCAGTTTCTTCGTGGTTGTTTTAAATTTTTCCACTTTCTATGGCGAGGTAATTTGGCATTTTTTTAAACTTTCGCTACATATATAAATCGTTATTGCGGCCCAATTTGAGACCCAATTTTTTCGAAATTTCGTCTACCCCCCCTCCCCCCTATTTTAAGGGTCAGGATTCCAAATATGTATAAAAAAAAGGTTATTCAGAGAAAGTACGTTTTTGCGTCTGATTTCATAACTTTATTAATAGTTAGAGCTGATTAATTAGCATATTTGAATTCACCCCCTGGAACCATTAAGATTGACACTTAGTTCGTGAAAATCCGATCATTAGAACGNTTTTTTTTTTTTTTTTTTTTTTTTTTTTTTTTTTTTTTTTTTTTTTTTTTTTTTTTTTGCGGACTGTACAAGTGTTTAAAGATAAACGGAACATTTATTATTAAATACGCTAGCACAATTAGACCCAGTCTACAAATATGTAAAGATAAGGGAAAAAATATATTATTAAAGGTTTTATTATTTATGTATATTATTAACGTTAGCATATTTCGACTATGTATGCGAGTAAGTAAAGATAAAGAAAAAAAATCTATTATTAAATGAGTTAGTATAATTCAACTATACAGTCCCTGGTGGCCAAATTATTAGTCGCACTAAAAGGTTCTATGTAAAATCTTAATGATCAGGTGATACTATACAGATTAATTATTTTTACGTGGCTGAAACCGGGTTGCACTTGTTTACGTTAGTTTATCAATGGGTTAACATTGTAATGCAATGCGTCAAAAATTAATAGGAAGTCTATAAAAAATCTCCTGAATGAAAACCCATTACATGTGTGTTTAAATATAAAAGGTATTGCCTGTAAACTCGTGCGAAACATATAATTATTAAAAAACTACAATGTATCCGATAATTGGGTCTAATTACTATAATATGCTAATATAATATCCGTATAATAAATATTCTATATTTATATAATATATTGTTTAATTTATTCAATCGTCGAATTTATATAATACGAGGGTTGTAAATTAAATAGTGGCAACTTAACCTTTAAACTCACAAAAGGGCACGCATGCGTAAATAGGGTATGGGTGCGGTGAGGGGGCACTTTTGTCGATGTGTATAGTGCAAAAAACAGTCGATCTGCCTAGAAGGGTGGTTGTTGTGTGGCGTTAAAGGGAGGAGTTTTGTTTCCATCGCTCTAAAGCATGTTGTGAAAAGGCTTAATGACGAAAAAAGACGAGATGCTTGAATCCATCGTGCTACTGTCCTATATGGTAAAGCATTTGCTCCAAAGGCTTCCACTAATCCTCGATAGCATTCTGTTGCATTTTTGTCACGGGCAACCTCGATTGTATGCCACGACCCCTGATCACCTTTTCACAACATGCTTTAGAGCGATGGAAACGAAACTCCTCCCTTTAACGCCACACAACAACCACCCTTCTAGGCAGATCGACTGTTGTTTGCACTATACACATCGACAAAAGTGCCCCCTCACCTCTCCCGTAACCTATTTACGCATGCGCGCTCTTTTGTGAGTTTAAAGGTTAAGTTGCCACTATTTAATTTACAACCCTCGTATATCGTCTAATTTAACCAATTGATACAGTAACGTAAACAAGTGCAAACCTGTTCCAACAATAAAGCTGTGCAGTATCACGTGATAATTAAAATTTTGCATATAATCTTATAGTGTGTCTAATCATTTGGCAGGAAACAGATAAGAGAGTTGGCGTACAGATAAGGAAAAAATATATTCTTAAATGAGTTAGCATAATTCGACCATAGATACAAGTGTGAAAAGATAAAGATAAGGAAAAATCTATCATTAAATGGATTAACATAATTCGACTGTATAACTATGCGTACGAGTGTCTTAAGGAAAGCAAAACTAAATATTTTGAATTACTTCTATCTAAAGATTCATGTATTCTTATATATATATCACTTAAAATTTCTAAAAAATTGTCATTTTTCAAAGTGTCATAACTTTTTCGAAAATGAATCAATTTATCTTCTAATTTAATCAATCTAATTTAATTTATCTCTATTTTTTGCAAAAATTAGCACATTTAAACAAAGACAAGTCTGACAAGTTGCTACTTTGTGGCAAAATTTTTTGCATAAAAATTATTGTTTACTCATTAATGTACAAACATTCTTGATGTAATGTATGTTATAAACATTGTAATGTTATGTATAAACATTGTAACGTTATTGTAATGTTACGTTATAAACATTGTAATGTTAATGTAATGTTATAAACATTCTTGAGTCGTTTTTTAAAATTGTCATTGCAAATTTACAACTAATGTTCTTTTTTGTAATAATGTTTTAAATAAAAAAATTAATTAATCCGAGTAAGAAAGTTGCAAAAAAATAATACTAAATACTAAATAATTTTCGAATTCACAACATAAAATAGTGAAAATGTAGATGTTTATAAATAAAACCAATTATTTATACTTTCGAGTATAAATATAAACATTCTATTATATATGCAATTTATTACATAATTTGAATAAACAATTCAAATTTAATATAAAATTTTGATATCGATTTCATTCAATCCAATTGAAATCTCATTTTCACCAAAAATACTACCAGAACTCACTTTTCACTATAAATGACAAAAAATCTTCAAAATCTCATATCTCGGTCAAAAAAACTCGTAAAGTCATTTACTTTAGCGCGTTCTAAAGTTAGCGACTTGTACTTTAATGTGTAAGCAATAATTTTTATGCAAAAAATTTCGTCACAAAGTAGCAACTTGTCAGACTTGTCATTTTTTTTCAAAAAAAAAATTGCCTTGTTTAAATGTGCAAATTTTTGCAGAAAATTGAGATAAATTAAATTAGTAATTTACTTTATCTCAATTTTTGTGAGGTGAAAGTAGAAGACCTGAACATGATATCCTGAAATTTTTATGAAAATTGATTCATTTTTGAAAAAGTTATGACACTTTGAAAAATGAAAATTTTTTAGAAATTTTAAGTGTCCCTAATAATTTGGAAGGGTACTGTAAATT